CCCCCAAACCAGAGCCCAACCCCGCTCGTTTTTCCCGGATCGTCCCATCCCTGTTTTCCCCAGGACAAGGAACTGGACAAGGTGGAGAAGTGGGAATAGGAACAACTCTATTTCAATCCAAAGTGGATTCACGGTCGGGGCGGGCGCAGGGGTCAGCGTGGGCAGGGCCCAGCAGCCCTGGGCACCGGGGCTGACTTTGGCCCCACAGCCACGGCCCCGGCTGGGACAGCTGGAGATCCTCTGCAGCCAGAACGGGATCTGCTCTTCCTCCTGCTCAACGCATTTTTTCCCTTAGGAACAGCAAGAACTTTTGCAGATTCCTGAAGAACCTCAGCAGGATTTCTTTTGGGAATGAAATGGTGATGAACGTGTCCGATTCTGCTTTTGGTGGCTCCTCAGTAACGCTCAGGGTCAGGACCGGGGTCGGGGTCACAAACAGGTTCAGGGTTGGGGTCGGGGCTGGCTCCGTTGCTGTCGGGGGTATCTCTGTTGGGACCAATCCCATCTGGACCTGGATCCATCCACGGAAGTGCTGGGTGGACGTGAACACCCCGGGCCGTTTGTCACCGGAGCAGCCTCGGCCCCAGCTGGCCAGTCCCACCAGCCAGAAGTAGTCACCAACGTTGTCCTTGCAGACCAGGGGGCCCCCGATGTCCCCCTGCGCCAGGAGAGAGGGGTCAGGGGCTGCTCCAGGCTCACAGCCACACCTCGGGGTTCTGGGGACACTGGGTGGGCTGGGGGGACAGGGGGACACAGGGACAAGGACCCACGGATGGGGAGTGGCAGCCCTGGGACACGGGACAGGGATCCATGGAGGGGAAAGGGATGGGAGAGCTGGGGGTAAAGGACAGTGGGGGAAAGCGGGGGGCTCAGGGGTCCCTAGGCTGGCTCTGAGGGGTCCCAGGGGCCCCTGGGATGGATCTGAGGGGTTCCAGGGATCCCTGGGCTGGATCTGAGGGGTTCTAGGGGGTCCTGTTTGGGATCAGGGGTCCCTGGGCTGGCTCTGAGGGGTTCCAGGGGTCCCTGGGCTCAGGTCCCTGTGCCCAGGAGGTCCCTGGCCCCACGCCCGCACCTGGCAGGTGTCGATGCCGCCCCGCGGGTACCCCGCGCACAGGTCCTGGGGGTGCACGGTCCCCCCGTACCAGCGGCTGCTGTTGCACAGCTGGACGTCGATGAGCCGCACCTTGGCCTCCTGCAGCACCAGGCGCGGCCCGGGAGCTGCGGGCACAGAGGGCTCTGAGCACCGCAACCTCGGGGGGCCCCGCGGGGCCCGGCCCAGCCCCGGGGCTCCGGGCCGAGCCCCCCGCAGCCCCGGGCCCTGTCCCGGCGGGCACTGACCGCTGTCCGGGCTGGCTCTCCAGCCCGCGATGAAGCACGTTCTGAGCTCGGGCACTGCCAGGGAGCTGTCGGGCACGCAGCCCAGCTGGATGTAGTCGCTGCACTCCACGGGCTGGTCCAGCTGCAGCAGAGCGATGTTGTTCCTGGCCGTGGCGGCCACGTAGCTCCGGTGCACCAGGATCCGCAGGATGCGGCGCAGCTCGGCCTCGCGGCCCGGCTGAGCCAGGTCCGTGGCCCCGATCACGGCTTCGTAAATGGAAGGGTCCCTGAGGAGGAGATGGAGACGGAGGTGACGGGGAGCAGAGCCGCGAGATGCGGCAGCCCGGCAGCTCCCCGTGCTGTGGGGACATCCCTGACCCTGCTGTGGGGACATCCCTGTCCGGTTTTTGGGGACATCCCTGACCCTCCTGTGGGGACATCCCTGACCCTGCTCTGGAGACATCCCTGTCCCATTTTTGGGGACATCCCTGACCCTGCTGTGGGCACACCCCATCCCCGCTCTTGGGACATCCCTGTCTCATTTTTGGGGACATCGCTGTCCCAGTTTTGGGGACATCCCTGACCCTGCTCATCCTTACCCAGACCTGAAGAAGCACTGGGCCACCGTGAGCACCCACTGGGGGTGGATGAGGATCCCCGAGCACATGTGCCACGTGCCGTTCTCCAGCGTGGCCTGGACGCTGACGATGCCCGGCCAGGTCCCCGAGGGGACACCGGCACCATCCAGGACGAGGGAGGCGACATAGGAAGAACCCAAGGTGGCGTAGTCATCCTCTGAAGGGTCGTAGTCGGGAACCACGGAGCTGTGGTCGAAGGCCATGGGCCGGAGCCCGCAGGTCCCTCTGGAAGCACAAAGCCATCGGTGCCCTGCTCGGGGACAGCGGGGACAGGGACCCCCGAGGGGCTCATCCGTGCCAGGACAGCCCCGAGTGTCCCCGAGCCCCCGGGGCCACCGACCTGCAGGTGTCCCACGTGCCCCGCACGGGCCGGGCCAGGGCCAGCAGGACGAGCAGGGCCAGCAGAGCCATCGGTGCCAGCGCAGGTGGCAGAGGCGGAGCGGAGCTGTCACCTCTGGTGGCCCTGGCGGTGCCACCGGCCCGGGCTGATGTCACAGAGGGGCAGCTCGGAGGGTGGAACCTTGGAGCGGTGGCGCTGCCGGGGGGACCTTGGTGACAGCGGTGTCACCTCCCGCGCTGGGCCTGCGCTGGTGGCGCCCCGAAATGAAACACAGAGAGAGCTGCGGCCTTAAATAATTCATCATTAGGGCTCTCGTGGCTTCGTTAATGATTAAATTATTTATTATTATTAAATTAATTATTAATTTATAATAATTAATGATATTTGTTGTTATATGATTGGTAGTGTGGTGTATATTAGCAATAATAGATGCTCGTATATGTTAATATATGTTAAATATATGTAACATATTTTACATTTATATGTTAATATTTAATTAACATTTATTATATTGCTACATATAATAGCAATAAATATACATAATATATAATTACATATAATTATTAATAATTCATTATTAATAAACATTATTAATTTGTATTAGTAATAATTATGAAAATAACATTATTAAAACATATTATTTAATATGGTATGATATTATATTCCTATTTATATTATTTTTCTATTTATTAATATATCCTATCATGTTAAGATTAATTTTCCATATTATATAAATAATAAATATATATTAATATAGCCATTAATAATATATTAATATAACATTAATACTATAATTATTATATAATAATTATACATTCTATTAATATCCTTTGTTGATAATACATATTATATTAATTTATATATGTAAGTGTTCTATTATTAATATTAATAATATTATTATAATATGAATATGATATATTTTTAGTATAATATAATATAATACAAATAGTCTATAATATAGAATATAGTGTAATTTTCTATACCCTTTATACAACATTAATTAATTTATATATATAATTGTATATGTAATATATATTATATTTCATATATGTAATGTATATGTAATATATATTACACCACTTTTAATAATAATAAATATATTTTAATAAAACATAAACTTATCTCATATTAAAATAATAATAAATATGTTTGACTAAAACATAAACTTAGAACAGATTAAAATAGTAATAATTATGTTTTAATAAAACATAAATTTACAGCAGATTACGTGGTATATTTCGTTGGAATATAATAATAAAAACTGGAACACAACAATAAAAAAGAGCTTTTCCTAAATTTGCTGTTCTGGGCTGGACAGGGCACATCTGGACGGGCACAGGAAACATCTGGATGGGGCAGGACCCCGCCAGGCTTGGCAGCGGCACAGCTGGCAGGGGCAGCCCTGAGTCACAGCTGGCAGGGGCTGTGCCCTGAGTCAGCCCTGAGTCACAGCTGGACGCGGCCCAGCGGGGCAGGGGCACATCTGGAGCGGGCACATCTGGCGGGGCGGGGCGGGGGCGGGGCCGGGCGGTGGCGCCGGGGCGGGGCCGGGGCTGAGCGAGGCCCGG